GGCACTCTCCTTGCCTCCAATAGGATTTTGTTAATAGGCTGAGATCAAATGAGTATTTCATAGGCTTAGGACACATTAACTGTTGCACTTTTGCAAGACTTGTTCTCATTCTGGTGGATCTTATGCCCATGCAATGCTTCAAGGCTAGGCCTGGTGAGATGATGGGAGAAATCACAGAAATGTGGTACACAGGCATATCTAAGAAGATGTGGCATGATTAGTTTTGTATCATCAAACAACTTGTTTCAAGACGATCATCTGGATTTCAGAGTTTACTTCTGGAACCAGTTCTGGGTGCAGTGTTAATCCCATGCCCTTTGCGGTATGGTATGGCACTGGATATGATAGCAGCCTCTTGATTCAACTGAATCTGGCTTTATGACCATTTGAAAACACACAAGAATCTCATGCAACAGATCACCAATTTTTATTTTTATCCCAGTTCGAACCTCCTCCCATCCCACCCCAGTAGCAGCTTGATGGCTCTGACTAGCATGTATAAAATCAATCTCAGGGTCAGGCCACAGATTTTTTGCATCATTTACTTGGAGGAAGTTTCACTCAGTGAGATGGAATGTCATGACAGTAAAATCCAATTTAAGTCCTAAACAGAGTAGACCCATTGATATTAATGGGACAAAAGCTGGTCATGGCTAATTTGAGTCTAATTAATTTCAGTGGGAAAATTCTAAGCAAGACACACTGCTTTTTTGCCTGCATCCTTTGTCAGGTTCAGTGGACCTGTGTCCCACTTGCAGAGAACAGCTGTCTACTTGAAGACATTCTTAGGGATGTCCAGTCAAAATCCATTTTAAAGATAAGGAAAATGGAGGGCCAGGAGTGCCCTTGAAGTTGCCCATCCAAGTTAGCACTTGGACAGCAGAGTGAGCATCAGGAATGTCACAAGACACCTGAGATGCGCTGCATTTCTATTTAAATTCTAGTAATTATTTCTGATGCTGCACCTACATATATATCAAACAGCACTTGTAAATTTTATGCAAATCCATCATCTGTTGGTGATGTGCAAATGGCCACGTGATTGATACATCCAGCACAGCTTCTTTCCATCCCACAGAAGGGATGGTTCAAGAAGAGACAGAATTGCACAAAGGGACTTGTCAAAAAAAGAGCTTGTAAACCTTTAGCAACAGCCACATTTGGCTTGCATTATGAATTACATATAAATGTGAAAAACCAGTTTGAATCCTCAAATTACAGCTGCTGCTTTTCTGAAGGCATCTGGTTCAGCTGGTGTGCAAATTGCTAATCTTTTTTTTTTCTCCCTGACAGGAAATTATAATTGCACTTTTGAAAGACAAGAATATATTTGGCATGTTGCAAATAAAAGAGATAAAGGGATTAAATAAATAAGGAAAAGTACTGAAAGAAAATGGTAATGAGGAATTATATTCAATATTGCAAACATCCAGGGTGCCATATGTGGCTACGCACAGTGTTAGAATGCAATTCTCAAACCATTTACCCTGGAGTAGCCTCTTTGAAATCAATAGCATTGTTCCAGGAGATTTTTCAAGGAGGGTCTTTTCACACCCCAATTCTGAGCAAATTACAAGCAAGCCTAAAGAAAGGGATAACTGAGCAACCTGAATCAGTGCAATGAAGCAATCATATACAATACATTGTGCCTGGGTGGGTTTACACATCACTTCAAGCAATGGTGTACTGTTTCCATGGCTTTTTGCCTCGACCCACTGGTCAGATGGTTGCATGGTTCTACTGCCACATGGTTTCCGCATTCACTGCTCTCCCACTCTTGCCACACATCCCAGCAGTCAGCACTACCAAAAATCTGCTTCCATTCCGCTTTGGGCACCAGCTGTCTCTTTCTGATTGGTCTGCTGAGATTTTGAGGCAGTCGCTTCCTCCTCCCCTTCCTGTGTGTACCTGCACCTCTGTAACACTTTCTAGCCATTCTGGTTCCAGAGGTTTTTCATGAAATAAAATAACTCTTTTGCTATGATCTCCTCCTTCTTCCACTGCACAGTCACCTGCTTTTTCCCTGTTTCAGAGAGTAAACAGAATGACAGGCACGTCGCTCAGCCAATAGAAACAAAGGGAGTGATGCTGTGTTTGTTCACTGGGAAAGGCAGGTAGTAGAGATCAGATGCCTAGAGCAACCCCTTCCATCACTGCCTTTTTCATGGGACTCACTACCACTGGTAAAATGGTGTTCCTGGGTCTAGACTAGGACTGAGAGGAAGCCTTCCAGAATTCTCCCCTCCAGCATCTGCAATCTTCCTTTAATTCATGGCCCAGTCCTGCAGGGTGAGCCAAGCCAAGGAAAGTCTGTGAATGCTTGCGGATCCCCAGTTGCCAACCTCCCTTGTCATGTGTGGCTGCCCAAGAGCAGCTGGGAGGTGGAAGAGGGTTCCTACAAGCCATTCCTGGCTGCCAACTTCCTTTCTCACCAAGTACAGCCAGCAGTGGCAGTGCCAGGCACAGAAGAGTATGTGGAGGTTCAGTTCCTGGTGAATGCCCCGTGACTACTGGGAATGCTCACCAGGAACTTGGACTCAGGACTGCTGCAAAGAGGACCAGAGTTGAGGGAGGTGAGCCTGGGGAATACGGCAGATTCCCGCTCCCAGTTGGATTCCTTACATGCCCCTAGAATAAATGATTGAATCTCTCCATGGCTTTAGCAAACCAGATATACTGCACCAAAATGCTGCACTTGGGTTCTGAGCAGGTAAACAAGAGAAAAAAATTGCCATGGCTTCTCATGATGTGTGAGCCTAGCATATATGTGTACAAGAAATAAATGTGTAACAGCAGATAAATAAAATAAATTGCTGGCTAATATGAATCAGCAATCTCTCTCTCTCTCTCTCTCTCTCTCTCTCTCTCTCTCTCTCTCTCTGTGTGTGTGTGTGTGTGTGTGTGTGTGTGTGTGTGTGTTTGAGAGAATGCATGCATGCATGAATGAATGATGAATGGGAGGAGTTTCGGAATGGATTATGTTCATGGTTTTGGTTCTGCTCACTTTGACCACCAGCAGGTTACTCTCAAGGGACAGCAGCACTCAGGAAGGAAAGGTTCCCCAACACTGGTGTCTGCACAGGAACAAACTGATTTCCACCACAAAGCTTTAGATTGCTTCCCACATTGGCCATGATTTCTCTATATGGCTCTTGACCACTTGAGGGACCAGAGATGGTCAACAGAAATGTAACGTATGAATTGGATCTTCATGGATGCTTTGTTGCTACAATTTGCAAGACTGATGTGCCTCCAAAAGCCCACAAAGCACTCAAGTTATGGAAATCACAGCTGGAATTTTGATAAGTACAGTACCTGTGCTGCAGGGATACAAACAAGAGCAGGCCCATTCTCGTGAGGCCCAATTATCTCTTAACTGGATTCAGGAGATCCGGGTTCTAGTTCCCTCTCAGCCACAGAGCTCACTGGGTGACTTTGGGCCAGCCACAGACTCTCAGCCCAGCCTATCCAATATAGGTTGTTGTTGTGAAGATGAAATGGAGAGGAGGAGAATCTTGTAAGCAGCCTTGAGTTCCTTCAGGAAAAAGACAGGGTATAAATGTAATGTAAAACTTATTTTTATTTTACATGGGGGATGGGGTATGAGGCGAGACTGAAGGAACTGGGTCTCTTCAGCCTGGAGAAGAGGAGACTCAAGGGGGATATGTTGGCGACATACAGGTATGTGAGGGGATGTCACATGGAGATAGGTATAGACCTGTTCTCCCCTGCAGAGGAAGGCAGGACACGCTCCAACGGAGCAAAGCTCAGGGAGCCAAGGCTCCATTTGGATGCCAGGAAGCACTTCCTGACAGTTAGGACCCCGAGGGTGTGGAATGGGCTTCCGCGAGAGGTCGTTGAGGCGCCATTGGTGCGGGTGTTCAAAGATAGGCTGGACATGCACATGGTGGGCATGTCGTGAGTGGAGCCGGCTGGTGCTGGAGGTCAGACTAGATGGCCCGGGAGACTCCTTCTGACTCGCTCTATTTTTATTTTATTCTTTTATTTTCTTGAATAATGCTTGAGGGTGTGGTCTCCGAGCACAAGATGCAGCAACCTGGGTGAAACTAAGGGTCGTCTGATGAGTTCCTGGATGGGAGTCTCTACCTGGACACTCTATGTACATCAGGTGGAGTTTCATGGATGGAGGACAGTAAATAAACTCTTCCTTTGAACATGCCTACAAGATAGGAATTGAAAACTGATTTGCACTTTTAATAGACTGAGAAGTAACACTTGAAAAACACTGAACAATGCAAAGTTGGTCTATTTGATTTACTTCCCTTTTACGTTGCTACGCTCCTTATTTGGTAGTTACCATTTTTTATCTTCCTCCAAGAAGTTTATGATGGGATATATGGAATATCTCATACTTATATTACTGCTTATGACAAGTCAAGTGTTTTGCAAAAAAGGGTGTTATGATCATGACTAACTCAGCTTTGGGCTAAAGCCAAACACACAAACAATAGAAAAGAACAATTTGGATGAAAGTCTTCTTTTGGAGGAGTTATTTGGATTAGCACTTTGAGCTAATCATGGGGAGATTAAATGGGAGTAGGGACGGACAAAACTGTCAGTGTTGTGTTTTCTCACAATTGAATTTTTAAAATCTCAAGTTCTTTGTATGCCATTTCTGAAGAAATTTGAGAAGTTTGGCAAATCCTTAACAACAGAAAACTCAAACGAAATTCTCACTCATTCCTAGTAGAAAGAGCTGCTGTAATATTCTGTCTAAGCAGCCTGGAATGATAGAATAAAGCTATGGGATCAGGCCTGCCTAGCAAAAATGTAAAAGTACCCTCTGAATGAATTTGTACAAAACACTAATGAAGACAAATAGTCTATTTAAATGTAACTGGAAAGTCCCCATTCAGATAGCAGCTGGCATGATTGTCCTCAGTCAAAAGATAGAAGCCAATGACAAATAACTGAATTCATGAAGAACTGAGATGACAATGGAGTAAATGCTCATTAGCACTTCTTTTCTTCTTTGGCAGCTATTATAATCGCATTGTTTAGCATTCCTGTTAGCAGCTTGGCATTGGCAAATGCCAAAAAGTCAACATTATAATTCACTGCAGATGGGAAAACACATCTTGAAGGGAACCTGTAGATGGAAGGCTTTCAGCAGTGAAGGATCTTGAAGAGAACAAAAGACGGTGAAGATGGTGAGGTTATTGTCCAGTTTAAAGATGAAGGCTATTGTGCCGCAATATAAAAAGGTGAGTTCAACTGAGGATATATTTTACAGCTGAAATGAATTGGTTAATTGTGCACTCATCCAAAAAGAGGAAAAACCTCACCAGAAAAGAGGACCAAAAGTATATTGAGCAACATAAAAATTGCATCTAACAAAATTTGCATCTTTTAGTTGAAAAATTAGGAATAATTCTTATAATTTAGGTAGAAATACAATACATGACACCACGTGTTCAAGCCTCCTGAAGATCCATGGGCATCTTCACACCCCTGTTTTTTATTCTCCTGCTGTTTTATCTTTAAATTGGACTCAAACCTGTCAGTCCTTCAGATGGACAGCTGTCTGACAACCCTTCAGGTAGACAAAAGCCTTCTGTGAAGCAGGTCACGTGGGTACTGTAAATCCTGCACTCAGGAGGCACAGAGCAGAATGTAAAGACTTGGCTTAATGGAGGTTGGAAAGAAGGTGGACAGGCTTGGTCTGCCCTTTGTTGTCCTTGGTCTCTTATCCTCCCTCCCTCTCCCTGTGACTCAGCAGCAAAAAACAAGCAATGAAGACCACCTCCGTAGATGGGGCACTGTCCCTGAGATGCAGGGCAGGCTGAGGAGCGGTGGAAAGAAGTCAGCTGAGCATTTCTTTTCCTTCCATTCCCGTCCTGCATCCTGCTCACTGTAAGGCAGCTTCCCACCACCTGTGCCACTACCTTCTGTTTCTAGAAAGTGGAAGGGAGAGACTTGAAATTCTGGCTTGGTCCATTTGGCATAGGGTGGAGGTTAAGGGTAGGCGCGGTTGGGCAGCCGCCTAGGGCACACATCTCCGTACAGGCCCATGGATAGAAGCCTCCTGGATATGCTCCTACTTTTCATCGCTGTAACATGCTCATTCTGGCCCACCCAATGGTGGTGGTGGTGAGGAAGAAGAGGAGGAGCAGCAGCAGTGGATACCTCTTCTGATTGCTCACTGTTAAGCAAGCAAGTGATGGCAGTGATGAGATGGAGGATGAGGAGCAATTGCTGCTGGTGGCATAGCCTGTGAGAAAGTCCACTCAAGGAGAGGGGGGCCCACTGGAGATGACTTGTGAAGACACTGAAGACACTGGAGCTGCCATGAATGGAGAGCTGAACCGTATACTAGGCTCTGTATTTCTATGCACCTTGCATGCATTGCAATAAGGCTGAATAGCCACATCTTATCTAGCCATGGGTGGTGCAGAGTTCTAGCTCTTGTGGATGTTTCTGCATCCTGCCAAGAGGAGAGCTCCATCTATTTGACTGGAAAGAAGGGAAGCCACAGAATAGGTTGTGTGCCAGGCTGCTTGTTGGTCAAAATCTAAAAGTTATGCTCAGGTTCCACAGTGTGGGCCATGTTTGAGTTGACTGATAATTAGAACAGAAGAGAAATAGCATGTGAAATGACCAAATAGCCTTCAATGGTGGCAAAATGCTTTTGAATAGGTTTGATCATGCATGCATATCCTTCCCCCTGGTTCATAGGTTTGGAAGGGGTGGTGCTATGTTTGTGTGTGATGCAGGAAAGAACTTGCAGCCTCCCTTCCACCTTGGCGCTGCTAACATATAATGTCCAGCATTTTAGCACAGAAGGGCATTACCACCCTCTCCAGATAGATCCAGCCTCAATGTCACAACTGAAATGCTACCTCAAACAAGCCATGTCCTAACAAGCCATAACAGAAGGAGAGCACTGAAGTTTGGAGTATTTCTGATGGGGTTCAGGGGAGATTGTTTGTCCTAAGAACTGATTCCAGAATACTCTTGTCTAACCCTGTGGGGTTATATGCTACCCCCAATGCACTTTAAATTGCAGAATCTACATAGACACCAATCTGCATCTTAGTCTCCCAAATGCACTATGTACCCATGTTTCAGACTTTTGCCACTTACAGTTTTCTTTCTAGAAGGAAAAACACATGTGGAGCATAACCAGCAAGAAATGTTTCCTGTTTTTTTCTAGGGAAAACTAGTCTAGGGAAGCAGATTTAAGTACTCTGGGTGTCAGTAGGTTGGCAGAAGCCATAGAATTTTATTGCAGGAACTTGTATGTCACTGGGACTGATTTCTTATGGGCTTAGAAAAATATCCCACATGGTCAAGAACATTCACTTTTAGTAATACTGCATTTTTGCCTAAAGTTTTACCTCGACAGTTTATACCTTCTCATATCATTATTTTTTCAGTTTAAAATATTCTTTTGACACCAGAGATATATTTGAAACCAGGAGCATTTTAGCAGCCCAGGATAGATTGGAAAACAGTTTGGGATATTAAAATGGCCCCCAAACACATCTGTGTATGTTTTTAGGTATATTAGGTGACAGTTAAACAATTTGGAGGCATGGATTGGGATTACAGCAGGGCCAGTTTTGGTCTGTGGGACCAAAGTTCAAAAACCCTTCTGGGAGAGTATTTCACAGAATGATCCTATGGCCCCTAGAGAGCATCAAGGGGGGTAAAGGATCCTTCAGATTCACAGATCTGAGGTTGGAGATAGAGCTCTGGCGCCAGAGCTAGTGATCTGGCTTGCATCGCCCTCCCTCCCAACAGCAGGTGTAGAAAGAATCATACCAGTTGCTCCTCTGAGGTCACAACATCAGAATTTTAAAGGGGATAGGCAAGGAAGAGAATGGGGCTGCTAGAATATGAGGTGCTCCTGGGTGTGCTGCACCCTTTCTCTCCCCACCCAAAGCACCACAGCTTGATGGCTAAAATCAGCTCTCTGTCTGACTTGGAAGGCAGGAGGCAAAGATCACCTTGACACTCCCCCTGCCCTGCCTCTATAATCATCTGAGATCACAGGCTTACAGGCAAGCCATTGGATTGTACCCTGAATGACCTAATCAAGGGGGTTTGGTCTGATCACTTCGCTTTCTATGGAATCAGCATAGCCATGTGATTGGCCCCTAGCCACATGGTTAGGCTATATAAATATTTTTCCTGCCACTTGAGAACTGGATAAACAGCTTCTATTTGGCTTGGAGAATGTCTACACAGCACTTTGAAAAATCCTTCAAACGAAAGCATGCTAATGGGACATTTTTTAAATCAAGGTAGAGGTTTGCCAGAGCAGGCTGTTCTTCCCTGTAAATTAACACTTCCCCCTTTTAAAGAATGCAAGAAGAACAGTTTTGGCTGTAAGATTTTTTTACAGATTTCTATTTATACCACTGTTTATGGTAACTAAAAATCTTCTGCATTCAAGAGGGTGGGGAAGGTTTAAACTTTGATCTTCCTCTTACTTGGGTTGGGCAGCCTGAAACTGTACAGCCAGGCTAAATTAGCTGGAAACAAGTTTGACTCATCCTTGATGGTTCCCCTTACTTCTGCTCTTCTCCCTATGCCCAAGGACATTCATGTTCTGGCTGCTTTGTACTTCTTTGGGGAGATGGAAGGATAAGCCACAGTCCTTCATTAGGAGCAGAGCAATTAAAAGCACACACTAGTTTCAGTTTTACTTTTAATTCAGTTCAGTTCAGTTTGAGTTTAGGATGGATTCATTAGAATCAATCTTGTCTCATCTGGTCCAGAATGGTCATCTGTGACTGCAGGGGCTCTTCAGGAGCTCAGGCAGGAGTTTCCTGCCCTACCAGGAGAAGCTACAGTTCAGACATGGGACCTTCTATATGCTAAGTGTGTGCTCTGCTCCTGCCCCTCATTCCAATGGAAGCTGGTGTTGAAAGCAAAAGGTCAGGGCCAAAATGCCAGGAATATAGGTGTATTTAGGTGTACCTTAAATATGTATATTGGTGTATCTTAAAGCTCTTACTGACATTGAGTAAGCCTCAGGAGAGGCATTTTAGCTTTTTAATATGGGGAAAGACAGAGCAGAAATCAGGAAACTCCTAAATGATTGACAGCAGAGGGAAAGGGGTCGGGCTTGTGGAAGGGGGGATGTCCACCTGCAGGCCAGCAGTTCTGTAGTCAGAGCAAGAAGCACTGGCTGTGTCCAGACAACACAGTAACCCACGCTCAAGGGTCCAGCATGGGTTGTTACTGAGCCATGTGTCACTGTCAAATGTGGACTATTATGTTGTCTAAGCACAGTCCAGCAGTGCTTAGAAACCATGGTTAACCATGGACTTCCCATGGAGTAAACCTATGGTTCGTTGCAGGGTTATGGAAGTCAGGTTCTTCTTTGTGGTCTCCGTGCGTCACACATATGCACTTTGCATCTGCGCAGAGAGCCTGGATCTCCGCAAAAGCCCAGATATATGGATGTACAGATGGCCACTCAAAGAATGACAGTTATAGATAAGCAACCTGCCTTTCTTCTTTCTGGTCTCACTGCATCACGCACATGGGCTTTTGCACTGATCCAGGCCCCCTGTGCAGCCATGAAAGCCTGTATGTCCACATATGGCCACTCAAGGAATGGCAGTTACAGGTAAACAACCTACCTTTGTTTGCCATGGTTTGTTATTTCTAATTTTGTAAGGCTGTAATTTGCAGGCAACTGGCCTAGAATAACACCAGTAACTTGGATTTGCAAGCAAAGGAGCACTAGGCCAGCTCTTTCAGTGTTGCTCATCAAGTAATTAGACATTCTGCCCATTTCATGTGTGCATTGTAAAATCACATCTGTGGTCCTGCTTCTCATTTGTGCTTCATATAACAGTGTGACTATCACTAACACGGCTTTATTTGCTGTTTTGTTCTTCCTGTAGCTTGACTGTGAGCCAATGAGAGGTTGGAACAGATTGGTTTAGATGCGGGCAACTCAGTTTTAAAAAGTACCCATTTGGCCACAATGTTCATTGAGTAATCTGGGGGACAAGTGACTGTTTTTCTTTCTGATTTGCTCCTTTCACAGTAACATCCTTGTTTTTGTTTGGACTCCCTTGTCCCAAGAGTGCTCTCATCTTCCCACTGAGAGGTGAGATGCTCTGGAACATGGAAAGGTGCAAGCCAGACTCCTTTAAAAGGAACTGGCATTTTGACAGCAAACTCTCAGAACCTCAGTTCCTTTCAAAAGAATTTCTCTTCCCCCCTGCAGGACTCCCTGTGGTTT